GTATTTTAAAATGTATATCACCAGGAATTTAGTATTCAAGTTTAATGACTTTAACTGATTGACAGGTTACCTTTTAAAATATACAGTAACTTCTGGTGTTGATCTTGTCATTTGAACAGTCAACTGATAGAAATGATTTAAATGTTTCTGGTATTTAAATTGTATTACTTGTGTAAGAACTCATTCAAAATATTTAAAAAGTGTTCGAATCCCTCTGTAGACATGAGTACAACATCTGCCAGTAAATTAGGTTTATTATCCCACTAAAATCTTAGGAAGAAGCCTCAGCTCTGATAATTTTGTAATATTATTTTAGTATCTAAGTTAAGATCTGATTTATCTGGAATGAGTACATAGCATTCTTTGGCTTTCAGTTCAGTCGCTCAGTCGTGTCCAACTCTTTGTGACCCCATGAACCGCAGCACACCAGGCCTCCCGGTCCATCACAAACTCCCGGAGTCCACCCAAACCCATGTCCATTGAGTCGGTGATGCCATCCAACCATCTCATCCTCTGTCACCCCCTTCTCCTCCTGCCCTCAGTCTTTCCCAGCATCAGGGGCTTTTCCAATGAGTCAGCTCTTTGGCTTTGTGCACACACTATTCTTCATGAGGTGAAGTAAAAGAGTTCATTATGTTTTATAAAATATCTATAATCATAATCACATCTTTATAAATTTGATAAAGCATGTCAAATATGTTATTTTTAATGTGTTCTAAACTACTAATTAGATGTCTAATTTCATTATTCAACTGGGTAATTTTATGCATTTGGAAGATTACCGATTACCATTCTATTCCATTTGCTTGTGTAATTTCACAGTTCTGTTTCACGCAAAGAAAAGTATTGGTCTGTGGTTAGAATGTGCTGTGTGTCACTTAGTCACTTAGTGGTGTCTGACTCTTTGTGACCACATGGACTGGAGCCCGCCAGCTTCCTCTGTCCATGTGGATTCTCCAGGCAAGAATATTGCAGTGGGTTGCCACGCCCTCCAGGGAATCTTCCCGACCCAGCGATTGAACCCAGGTCTCCTGCATTGCAGGTGGATTCTTTACTGTCTGAGCCAGCAGGGAAGCCCATAGTTAGAATAATGCATTAAAAAACACAAACCAGATTCCTTGGAGGCAAAAGTTAAGTTCATCTGCCAAAGAATAAATCCTCACTAAAGGATTCCTAGTCTCTTAATTAGCTAGTTGAGCAGTTGGGCAGAAAATGATTAGAAATATTAGGATCAATACAAATTTACTCAAGCATCTTGGTTACTTCCAGTAGGTTCCAAACAATTTTCAATTAAAAAAATAAAACATAAAAATACTTTCATTGGGGGTAAGCATCTGTAGAAAGGATGTGAAGGTCCAGATTACTGCATTGGAACCAGGGCTCATTTATGAAATTTGCTTTTGTTGTAGGCAGCACTTATAGGAACAAGAGCCACGGACACTCCCCTGTGGGAGCGATCAGGAACCTGATAAAGGATCCAATGTGTAGAATGAAATCTTAGGTGAACTGTTGAACATTGTGTTGCCTTATGTTGCTAGGATTTAATAAACAAAAGGGACTCAGCAGAAATGAGCTGAAAGTGCCAGGCTTTGGTGTTTGTCCAGAGCTTTGAGTGTTGTCACCAGTCATCTCTATTTTTGGAATGGAAATGTTTATGTTTCTGGAGTGGGAAATCACTTCTTAGCCTTTCAATGCAATGGCAGCAGCATAGTGTGGGCTTGGGAGGATGAGTATGTCAACCACTGAGGTTATTGGTTATTGCAGTGCATGGATGATCTTAACAGTTGTTAGGTGGTAAATCTTTCCTCAAAAGAGGAAAGTCATTGCCTAATTGTTCTGTCTTTATCCAGGTGTGTCCCTAGATCGTGTATAACTGTTAGAAAAGGGTTGCAAGACATTTGCTGTCAGTGGAGAGGTTAAGAGTACGACTACTTTCTTATCATCATAATCCCTTGTCCATGCTCATGTATTGTTCAGTCGCTAAGTTGTGTTCTACTGTTTGTGACCACATGGACTACAGCATGTCAGGCTTCCCTGTCCTATACTATCTCCTGGAGGTTGTTCAAACTCATGTCCATTGAGAAGTGATGCCATCTAACTAATTCATGCTCTGTCAGCATTCTTCTCCTGCCCTCATCTTTCCCAGCATTGGGGAATTTTCCGTGAGTTGGTTCTTCACATCAGGCGGCCAAAGTATTGGGGTTTCAGCTTCAGCATCAGTTCAGTTCAGCTGCTTAGTAGTGTCCAACTCTTTGTGACCCCATGGACTGCAGCATGCCAGGTGTCCATCTCCATCACCAACTCCTGGAGCTTGCTCAAACTCATGTCCATCAAGTTAGTGATACCATCCAACCATCTCACCCTCTGTCATCCCCTTCTCCTCCTGCCTTCAATCCTTCCCAGCATCGGGGTCTTTTCCAAAGAGTCATTTCTTTGCATCAGGTGACCAAAGTATTGGAGCTTCAGCTTCCACATCAGTCCTTCCAATGAACACTTAGGACTGATCTCCTTTAGGATGGACTGGTTGGATCTCCTTGCAGTCCAAGGGACTCTCAAGAGTCTTCTCCAACACCACAGTTCAAAATATCTGAGGTTATTGATATTTCTCCCAGCAATCTTGATTCCAGCCTGTGCTTCATCCAGTCTGCATTCCTCATGATGTACTCTGCATATAAGTTAAATAAGCAGGGTGATAATATACAGCCTTGATGTACTCCTTCACATGATATACTCTGCATATAAGTTAAATAAGCAGGGTGATAATATACAGCCTTGATGTACTTCATTCCCAATTTGGAACCAGTCTGTTGTTCCATGTCCAGTTCTGTTTCTTCTTGACCTGCATACAAATTTGTAAGGCAGCAGGTATGTTTATGTCTGGTATTCCCATCTCTTTAAGAATTTTCCGCAGTTTGTTGTGATCCACACAGTCAAAGGCTTTGGCGTAGTCAAGAACACAGATGTTTTTCTGGAACTCTAGCTTTTTCTATGATCCAACGGATGTTGGCAATTTGATCTCTGGTTTCTCTGCCTTTTCTAAATCCATGTTCTCAGTTCTCAGTTCATGTACTGTTGAAGCCTCGCTTGGAGTATTTTGAGCATTATTTGCTAGCATGTGAGGTGAGTGCAATTGTGTGGTAAGTTTGAGCATTCTTTGGCATTGCCTTTTTTTGGGATTGGAATGAAAACTGACCTTTTCCAGTCCTGTGGCCACTGCTGAGTTTTTCAAATTTGCTGGCATATTGAGTGTAGCACTTTCATAGCATCATCTTTTAGAATTTGAAATAGTTCAGCTGGAATTTCATTACTTCCACTAGCTTTGTTCATAGTGATGCTTCCTAAGGCCCACTTGACTGCACACTCCAGGATGTCTGGCTCTAGGTGAGTGATTACACCATTGTGGTTATCTGGGTCATGATGATCTTTTTTGTATAGTTCTACTGTGTATTCTTAATACCTCTTCTTAATATCTTCTGCTTCTGTTAGGTCCATACCATTCCTGTCCTTTATTGTGCCCATCTTTGCATGAAATGTTCCCTTGGTATCTCTACTTTTCTTGAAGAAATCTCTAGTCTTTCCCATTCTGTTGTTATCCTTTATTCATTTCACCCAAGAAGGCTTTCTTATCTCTTCTTACTATTCTCTGGAACTCTGCATCTGGAACTCTGGGTGTATCTTTCCCTTTCTTCCTTGACTTTCATTTCTCTTCTTTTCTCAGCTATTTTGTAAGACCTCCTCAGACAACCATTTTGCCTTCTTGGCATTTCTGCTATGTATACTAAAATCTGAGGATACCCATAGTCAGCTTTTCATCCTCACGGCTTAATATCTGTAGATTCAGCCAATTATTAATAGCATGTTAAGTCTGCAGTCCACAGTGAGCTGAGTCTGCTAATGTGGAATGTGTGATTACCAAGGGCCTACTGAATATTTATTGAAAAAATACACAAAAAAAGTGGACTGTGCAGTTCATTCCCTTGAACAATGTGGGGGATAGGGACGCTGACCTCTACCCAGCTGAAAATCTGTATATAACTTAGTTGCTCCCCCTGTCTGTGAAATCATCATGTAGTACTGTATTATTTACTGCTGAAAGTAATTCATGTATAAGTGAACCAGCACAGTTCAAACCTGTGTTGTTCAAGGGTCAACTGTATATAAGTCATCATAAAAAGCCCACAAGATTGGTTATTCCCACTTCTCAGATGAGAACATTTAGATTCTGAACTTTAATCCAATAATTCACAAAAACGTCTCAAATCTATACAGATATCTCAGTTATTAACAACTTTACATTAAACATTAGTAGCCATGCCAGAGAAGATATATACAAAATAATTTACAACATTTTCAACACAAAATTGTTCAAAATAATAACTAAGGGATGTGAAGAAGATAAATTTTAGTTACCTACAGTATTCATTTCTGTGCTGTTTTCAGATGATTAGAAATAAATTTGATGATTGTACACATAACAGGATATTGTTCACATTAAGCTAATTTTGTCTTTTGTTGAGCAAATAATATGAAAGTTTTGGTGCAGATTTTGATGAGATAATGTAAGCTTTCATCATCTCCTCAAAGTAATTATCAGAAGTGTGAGAAATGTGCAAATATTTGGATACTGCAGTCTATCCAAATTAATTTGGTGAATTTTCAAAAATATTACTTTCACAATACAGTTTGTATATTTTAGCATTAAAAATCATCAAATATAAATCCAAATTAGCAAATAATATAGTTATATGGACATCATATTTTTGCTTCAATTACTTTTGCTTAATTTTATTAACTTTAGGGCTACAGAAGTGAAAGAGTACCATCAATTTGTTTCTTCATGTCTGCATATATTCATCATTTAAGAGAGAACAATATTCATACTGACATGTTAAAAAACTAACAGTTTGAAGTATATATTGAAATTTTTTTAAAATGCAATCTATTTATTTACTTTCAAAAGATGAAGGTGGTTAATTTGAAAAAAAACAGTCACATTCAGGTGGACTTGAAAAACAATTTTAATTTTTACTCAAAATATATGAGATGTCATCATTAGCCCTTATCTTACACTTGAAAAATGGAGACAGTTGTACAGGAAGGGAAATAGAAGTTATTAGATTTTAAGCTCAAATTTCAAAAGTATTCAAATAAGGCAGGTAAAAAGAAATCCAGATACTGTTCCATTATCCAGCATAATTTTCATGTCCCCTTATTTCATAAAACATAAATATTACCATTTACTAGAAATAATAGTTTTAGTTTTTTTTTCCTAAACACCATGATTCTTGCTTTATAGCTATGAAGGCTTCCCAGCGGTGCCACCTATTTCATAAACTGACCAGCAGTTTCTCTCTTAAAAAGAAAATTCCAACCTATGTGGATTTAAAGAATAAATATCACATATCCTTGGTAAACTATTTTATCACCACCAGGTATAAGAGATCAGTATTTTGTAATGAAGAAATTCAGAGCATTTAACAGCATATTACTGCACTATGATGGGACTGAAAAAAGTACGGGCCTTTGTATACTGATAAATTCTGACAAGACACCTGAAAAACAGAGGTGGGGGTAGGAAATGGTAGGAATAAAGCTTGGCTACCTACTAGTAAAATAATTTTGATTAAAACTCACCAGACCTAATACAGTTCTAAAGAAACTGATGAAAAGTGCTACCCCTGCCAACTATAATTTAGATGGTATTGTTTGAAAAAAACAGCCAACCGAGTAGCTGCTCTTTATGTGGAATTAAAAATAGAGGGCTTTGTCATTATTTATTAGGCACAGAAAGAAGATTCCTGCTTTATTAAAAAGAAGAAAAAAAAAATTAGGTTAAAAGGGAACTAGTAGCTCCCAAAAGTATAGTAATTAATCTAACTCCTACCCCCAGATGGCCATATGTTGTATAGTTTCAGTAAATTCCGACTCAGTCTTACTTCTGAAATGAATTTACAAAGTAAAACAGTAATAAAAAAACAATAAAACCCTGTGATGATGACTGTTGCCCGTACCAGAAAGACAGTAAGGAAGTCTTTATTTGTTCGCACACAGCAACAGTGCAAGCGGCATCCACGCCGGGTCCCCGATACGTGATCCCTTCAATGCAGTGTAAGTCTCCCCTCGGCAGCCACCTGCAGAGAACTGAAGTGTAGTGAATGGGTGGGTACTGCGTCTGGTTCACTGACACCACGGGAACAGTGGCCAGTGCCATTATTCATGTGTGTTGGCTGAATACTAATCTTGGGAAATACTTAGCCACTAGATTATTTTCTCAACAAGCAGTTTCTCGTGAACAAGGTCTGGTCAACAGTAAGCTAGAATGAATTTCAACCTGACCTCCTTGGCTTTTAGGACATGTGTTAATTCTTGGCCTCTTTTTTAAAACCTCAGTGTTGTTTGATAGGCAGCCACTAAAATAAATCCTCCCCCTTTTCAACTCACTTTCTTTTCTTTTCCCTAAGGTTGGACCCTATGTAAACCTAAAAACGTATGATAACTTTATATACAAGGTTTCTCAAAGTGCAAAATGTGTTACATATAGTTTCATAGGCTTCATTTACACACAGCATTTTATACAATACAGTACGGTTTGCAATTTCTGTTCATAAATTTACACCACTTAGCAGACACCTACAGTTGACCCTTGATCAATGTGGATTTTGAACTGCATGGGTCCACTTATATGTGGATATTTTAAAAAAGTGAATCCTAGAGCACTACATGATCCACAATCAGTTGAACCTACAAATGCAGAGGAATTTCAGATACCGGGGCTGACTATAAATTATACACAGATTAACACACTAACCCCTGCTGCATGTTGTTCAGGGGTCAACTGTACTTCCAAAGTCTGGCCACTCAGAGTAACCCAGTGCCTTCCTACGCAAGGTTAACAGAGCCGAACTGTACAAGCTTTGTTCAGACCACGACACAGTGAATCTTACACTTATCACATATATACATACATATTAATAGTTTAAAATTGCTCTTTAAATGGTTAAGGATAGCTAGACACATCTCACCCAGCATGAAATAGTTTGGTTTAAGACACTGTACACAATATTTAAAAAAACCATGTGTAGGACAAGTCATTTTATCTCCTTCTGCACCACCTGCTCAGCCTGCACCTCTTTGGGAACAGTTCTTGATCGCTGGAGAACCACGCTAAGCTCTTCGATGACTTTTGGTGGTAACTTATTATTGCAGTCCAAAGTATCTTTGCCATTCCTGTCCTCGGTCTTCTTCAGTGTCTTTAGGCCTTTATAGCCTTTCTGTCGCCCTGGAAAGACCTCAGCCTCTGTGTCCTCCAGACAGTTGAAACTCCGGTGTTTTCTGGTTCGATTTCGAAGCTTCTCGTCCTTCTGCTCCAGGCACTGGGCCACGATGGAGGCTTTCTCCTTTAAGGTGCCGTCCCCACCTTGGTCACGCTTGGCCCCGAGCCGCAGCCTTTCGAGTTCTGCTTTTGCACTCTTGAAATAAAAGAAAACATCTCAGAGGGAAGCAAGATCTGGCCTACTCTGCCTAAATACATGGCACGTAAAAGTTGATGCTTCTTTTATTAGAGTTTATTTCTATGACTTTTGGCACTAGCAGCAGGTCTGAATTTATAGATGGATCTCAGAGCTACAAAACCAACTGAAATGGAGATCACGGAAATTCATTTTAACAAGCATTTAACATACCACTTCAAAGATGTCTTTCAAGCTAGTTATTCAAATTGACTCCCATTTTAAGCTTGCCTCTTTCAATTCACTGCTGCTTGGATGTGTTACATGTTCATGCATCTGTAATTCCTACAGTGTTGTACCCAAAGTACAGAGGAAAACGGGGGTCTCTGTGGCCATTAAGTCCAGGAAATACACTTTGTAATAGATCCCTCTTTGAGATTCACAATACATATTAAAGAAGCTGAGAAATACTTTATAAGAAAAACCTGTTCAACTTTTCTGTTTTTTTTTTTTCTCCTCCAAAAATATTTGACTAGTGCAATCTTTCCCCCATATAATGCCTATTAGAATCCTACAGATATTTGTGAAAACACTGAAAGGAATATATAGTTATGTATTAAAACCCACTTTTGTATCAGTGGCTTAGAGTACACCCTGTCAACTGTGTCTGCAAGCACCAGAAATCCCATGAGACAACCTGCATTGGGACAGGGGTGTGCTTTCATAACCAGTATCCATGGCATCTTGTGACTGGGCAAGTACTGTCATCCAGAACTCTCCTCAGATTCTCAAAGGGGCTTACACCCTAACCAAACGTGAGATAAAAGAATGAACAACAGAGAAGTAAGCATCTCGTGGGTACAGAGCCATGGGAAAGGCTACCCAAAAAACTGAGTTGGGGCAAGTGGGAAGGCATAAATCATTTTACTTTTCACAAACAAGAGTTCAAGGAATTTCTTCAAAATTCCCTCATAAAAACTGCAAAGCACAGAAAGAAGAAATCCAAGGAAAAATTTTTATTGTATTATAAATGAGAGAAAGATGAAAATGGTGATGTAACATGAAGAATGGGACTGTTTTGCAGATGGCAAGTAGAAGTATGTGTGCTTACTCATTCTTATGGAAACGCCAAAAAGCTAACTGAACAACCATTGACAAAAAAACACACACACTCTGGAACCTTTAAAAGATACCTACAAAAAATAAAATAAAATAAAATATACCTACATCCAAAGACAAAAAGCCACAACGAGATGGTAGGAAGAGTATAATCATGATAAAATCAAATCTCATATCTACTGGGTGGGTGATCCACAAACTAGAAAATAACTATACCGCAGAAGTTCTCCCACAGGAGTAAAAGTCCTGAGCTTCACATGAGGCTTTCCAACCAGGGGGTCTGGCAATGGGAAGAGGAGCCCCCAAAGAATCTAGCTTGGAAGGCAACATGTTCTTGGATTGGAAGAATCAATATTGTTAAAATGACTATACTACCCAAAGCACTGTTATACTTAGATAACCTGTATAGCACAGGGAACTCTGGTCAATATTCTCTAATAACCTAAGTGCGAAAATAATTCGAGAAAGGATAGATACATATGTATGTATAGCTGAATCACTTTGCTGTAGACCTGAAACACAATATTGTGAATCAACTATACTCCAACATAAAATAAAAAAATACTACTTTGAATAAAATGGAACTAAGTAGCAATAAGCAGTGTTTTGACTAAGGATGTCCAATGTAATGTTCAAAGGGCAACACCTCACCTCTTAATTTTTCTCCGTAGTGCTCTTTCTAATATTCTAGTAAGATATTCATACCTCTTGTGATTATCTGAATGCTGCTGGAAACTCAATACACTGCAAGGAGGGTTTTGTTTTTAGCTTTTGTTTGATTTGTTCACTGATAAGTGAACTTATCACCGTGCCTGCAGATGGGAAATTACCAATAAATGTTTTCTGAATAAGGGATGAAGAAAGGTTAAAAAAATTCAAATGTGTAATGTTTTATCATATTCTGTTTTATCTTCCTAAAGTCCAGCAGATTGGGACATAATTTTACAATTTGGAATTTTCTGATAAGCTCATGATTATACATCTCAGAGAAATACTTCTACTCTAAACCTGAGAAGAAGAAATAGTTGTTTAGTATCTACCTTAATTCCAAAGTTTCATTAGAATACGTTAGAATGGCTGAACAGCCATGTGAATGTTAATTAATGAATTGTGCATGTAAACTGCTTAAAATGGAAAATGTATTTTATCACAGTACAAAAAGAAAAATGAGAGAGGATTAATAAACATGATGGCTATTTAAACATAGGGATGTGACGGGGAGTTTATAAATCAATATGAATCTTATTAAAAGTTTCACTTGGTATCTACTACTCAGGAAAATCAAGGATCAATATAGAGTGTTTTATATATCATAATGGCAGTTCTCTCTTCAACTATTGGCAGAGAGACATGGGGATTCTGATGTAGTATTTAGAGGCCAATTATGGGCTTCTCGGGTGCTGCTAGTGGTGAAGAACCCACTTGCAAATGCAGGAGACATAAGAGATATGGGTTCGATCCCTGGGTAGGGAAAATCCCCTGGAGGAGGGCATGGCAACCCACTCCAGTATTCTTGCGGGGAGAATCCCCATGGACAGAGGAGCCTGGCGGGCTACAGTCCATAGACTCGCATAGTCGGAAACGACTGAAGTGACTTAGCACGCACTAGTCATCTAGTCTCTTCAATACAGTCATCCTGTTTTGCATCAATTTTACTTTTATACTTTCCCTTATACTACTATAGATGACAAGAGTGAACATTGACATTCTAGGAATCGGTGAACTAAGATCGACTGGAATGGGTAAATTTAACTCAGATGACCATTATATCTACTACTGTGGGCAGGAATCCCTTAGAAGAAATGGAGTAGCCATCATAGTCAACAAAAGAGTCTGAAATGCAGTACTTGGATGCAATCTCAAAAA